TGCTTGTTTACTACTATGCATTGTTGTGATACTGTACATGACGTCCTCCACCCCTGAACGTTTCCGCTGTTCGGGTTTTGGGGTGTGACAATACATATTTGTATAGTACGATGTTGGACTAAAGCTTCTAAACCCAAAATCTACTAAATACATATTTGTATAGTACTCTAAATGTGGCTTAGATTGTTATATGCAAACCCACCAAGAATAGGTTCTTTTATTCTTGTGAAAGAGCTAAGTTAGTAGAAAGCAAGATTATAATGACAAAGTGAGTGTGGGTACATGGAACTTGAAGCGGCTCAAGAACAATAACCTTATGTAGTAATAGTTGGCACTAGTTTTAAAAAGGATTGTTAAACTTGAATAATAGCTACTCACAAACACAAATTGTTTGCATTAGTGGTAGAAATCATCTATGACTTGAGAAATGTGGAATCTGTCATTGATGAGCTTTTAGTAATCGTTTCTGGAAAATCCATCAAGTACCAAAATGCTATGTCAGATATCGAATCTGATAAATGACTTAGAGTCATAAACATGAGATGTAATCTATGTATGAGAATCAAGTATGTACTTGATTAAAATTTATCCTTATAGCAAGGCTAGAAGGAGAAAATGATTATTCTAAAAAGAATAAATTACATGGATAACCATACACATTTAAAGCAAGACTTGTAGTAAAAGGATTTTCTCATACTCATGCCGTCGACTATGGTCTTCATCATACTCATGACACTGACTGTGATCAAACCTTTTTTCACAAGTAGCTATGATTAAATCAAAAAAGATATTATTTACTATAAATTCATATTCTTAATATGAAATAGATCAAATAGATTTCAAGAAAGACAGTTTTTCTTAATATGCATCTACTTGAAGATATCTATATAGATTAGCCTGGCGGTTTTCTTAATCCATGTTATCCCAATAAAATGTGTAGAGCTTGAGATCCTCTTGTGGATATAAAACAAACATCTCAATGTTACAATCATCATTTTATGTAAATCCATAAGGTATGTTTTTATATCAAAATGAATAAAACATGTGTGTTTACTAAGAACTAGTGGGAGCATAGTGAAATTCTTAATCTTGTATGAATGAGACATACTTAATCACTTGAAATTACATTCTGACTAAGCAACGTCGTTTTCACCTCTACTCGGGAATTGTTTCTAAAATGAAAGACTTAGGAAGAAGAAGAAGATACATTCTTGGAATGTAAAATCTATAAGAAATATATAAAATTATTGTTAAAAGTTTCATGTCGTTATACATATAGTGACAATATATTGAAAGGGATCAAAACACAAGATTCTTTTGGAGAATCATTGGCATTGTCATATGGCACCATTTTGAGCTAGCCTAAAAAAGACATAGCTCATAGGCTTGAACTAGATGAAATGATTTATATTCTATTTGCTTGGCAAATGAATTCATCATTTACGCCATATTATGTATAGGACATGGTATTTGATCATGTTGTAAGAATATGATAGGATACTAATTGAATACATGGTAAAGTCACTGGATGACTAAGAAAGAGCATTCTAAGAGTACTTTAGAAGAACTAAGAGAATGTATATCAGACAATCAATTTAGAAAGGATCTTTATGGAAAGAGTTGCACAAGATGTTAATCTTTAAACAGATATAAATAATTATGACTTATAATTGGATTTTGACTTCATTATGGAATGAAGGGTAAGTTTTGTTGGAGTGAGGTCCAAGCAAAACATAATGACACAATCTAATACAAAATAAGAATACACTACTTTAGAAGTTGAATTCAAATATGACTGGATGAATGGGATCATTGAAAAATTATGTTGATTTTTGCCATTCAAGGATCACATAGAAATCTTTGTGACTTCGAGAGTATACTTATGATGGGTTTAGAGCATAAAAACAATCCTATGTGCTCATACAAAACCCTAAAGCTTGGATCTAGGATTCTCTATTGTACATGCAATTCATCCAAGACATATGAACCCTAGATCTAGCATAGATATTTCGAAATTAACCTAATAGATCAGATCTAGATGATTACCTTTCTTGAATGGCTTGAATCTTCAACTCTTGGAGCTTAGTTTCACAAATGTCATACCTCTAATGGCTTACAAACACCACAAACAAGAGGATGATGTTTTAGGAGAGAGGATGAAAGGCAAAAGTCGGCTCCAAGCTTCCAAGGGATCAACTAACCGATTTTGCTAACCCTAGGGGTCGTTATATACTTGAGCTTCTAGGGATTAAGTGAAAACCCTAATTGGATGACTTAGGCCCTAAGTAAATTGAGAACCTTCTGGAATAAGGCCTCCTTAGACGAATTTAAGAAGGACTCCTCCTTAATTTTGTCCATGCCCTAATCCATAAGCATTCTCAGCCTAATATCAACTATCACACAATTGACAGTTCTAGTTCCCTTTAATTAATTAATGTCTTTTAGCTACACAATTAATTCTTAATTAATTCTTGTCTAATATTAATTAAACTATATGATTTCTCTTTTAATATATTATTCATATAATATATTAATAAACCATAATAACCTCTCTGTCTCTATAAATCATCCTGTCAAGTTGCTTTGGTGAAGGCAACCCAAAAGGACCATGCACAACCAGGTCAAGTACATACCAAATATAGTTACAGGCTTAGACACTAATCCAACAGTCTCCCACTTGGATAATTCTAGTAACTATAGTGCAAGTACAATCCGATTAGCAATCGTAGCTCTCAATGACGTTGTCGAACTCTGATCTTATCGGTAACCTGTCCTTTAGATAAGGGATCATACAGTTCTGCATTCTTGATATCGTACGGACAATTACATGGAACATAGTCATACGTATTGTCCAACAGTTTGTTTCTCGATCTCTGATTCGTCTGACATAGAACTTTATTGAACACATCAATTTAGTCCTGATCGGGCCCGACACATAAGTCAAACCAAATCATCGAGGGGCCCAGATATCGCTTTTACCCTCTTAGGATAAAAGGAAGGGATAAACTTTGACTTATATGCATTTACGATTCACTCATCGAATCACACACAACAATGTGTTTTATAACATCAAGTTACTGATGCGTTTACGCATTTTCTATTCACAACCAACTTGCAAATAATAAACCATATATCTAGGTTTTAAGACCATATGATATTATCGTCTTGTGATCACTCGTGATGAATTCCATGAAGTGATGCCAGCAAGCGTGGGTCTAATCCAATGCTCAAATCTTATTCATAAGCACTCATGAACGTTGCAGCAAACCTTTGCTATGTCTAATACACTTCAGACAATCTACAAACCAATTCATGACAATCTTCTTTCATACCTACTTCCAAAGTATGAGCGACTATGGAACGTTTGAATAATCTTATTATTTAGGAAGTCAAAACATGCAAAGTGAAACAATAGGTAAACAATTAACATAAGCCAGTAACTTTACTTATAAATAATACTCTTTTATTTAATCATCAAATGCTAATTACATTTATCTATTACACGTTTCTAAGCTATCTAATCTAAACTAATATCGTCCTTCAACCCAATGCTCCTACGTGCTGCAAGTGCCTAACCCTACTCAGTCCCTTCGTAAGGGGATCTGTTGGGTTATCCTCTGACGATACCCCCTTCACTACGAGGAGTCCCTCTTCCACCCGATGTCGAATAAAATGATATTTCCTGTCGATATGTCGACATCTACCATGATCCCTCGGTTCCTTGGTCAAGGCAACCACTCTTTTATTATCACAGAAAATCTCCATAGGCTCCTTTATGGCTGGCACAACTCCAAGGTCTCCAATGAAGTTCTTCAACCATATCGCCTCCTTTGACGCTTCGCTCGCTGCTATGTATTCTGATTCACACGTTGAATCAGCTACGGTCTCCTGCTTGGAACTTTTCCAAGTTACTGCTCCTCCATTCATTTACCGGAAACAAAAAAAGAAACAAACACAACAAAGAAAACAACGCATTAAAGCAAAAAAAGTCCAGCAAAAACAAAAACTCCTGAAAGGCGACAATTTCATGATTCAGATTCTGATTTTGAAAGTAGTCGTCCATCAAAGAAGCAAAAGAAAAATGAGTCACCAATTAAGAAAGAAAAGAAAAAACATGTGTGACGTTTTTGCAATGAAAAACAAATGATCACCAGAGTCATTACTCTCTCTAATCCTTGGCTTGAGCAAACAACAAAAATAATGTGTAAGATCTATGGGTTTTGGAAGTCTGTTAAGAATGAAAATAACTGATATACCACTGAAGCTGAGATTTTATATTCTTCAAAATTTTGATTCTGAAAGAACGGTCAGAGATGTTGAAGGAAAAGAACTGAAAGTAACAACACAGTCTATTCATGACATGTTGGGGATTCCAACCGTTGGAACCATACTTACACAACTGGATCAATCGCCTAAAGATGATACATGTTATGATGAATGGAAGGAACAGTTTCAAGAAGGAGAAATCATCATACTGAATGCAATCGAAAAAGTTATTGTTCGTACCACAGGAGCTGATTTTAATTTCAAATTAAACTTCTTAGTTCTTTTTGTCAACAAATTTTGTGAGTCAACATCAATAGGAAGATGCAACTTGTTCCCTTTGATTTATATTTCAAGAAAAACGTATATCAGCAACATAGACTGGTGCAACTATGTTTTGGATAGTCTCGTTAGAACAAAGAACTCATACATACCATACTCTGTTACCAGCTACTTTGTTGGACCTTCAGCTTTCTTGTTGGTAAGTTATTCATAAGTGAATATATTATAATGTTTATATTCACTTTTTAATAATATTAATTATTCATAACTGAATAACACATATTCATATTTGAATAAGTAAAAGATAGTATTACTTGTTCACATGTAATGCTTTGCATTACTTATTCATAAATGAATATAAAAAAAATACTATATTTTGTAAAAATTCATTTATGAATATGAATTAATTATCATTTATCTACAGTTGTTCTATTCTGATAAAATCCACTCGGAAGCTCTAAAGGTAACATGTAAACATCCAACAATTTGTTATTGTAGTTCAGAGAAGATTAGATATCGAGAGACATTTGAACAAGAAATAGGTAGAATTGGCCTTGGAGAATTAAATGAAGAATTTTTTAATGAAGAAGTTGAAGGAGATACAAATCTAGAAGACAATGATTGTGACAAAGATGAAGATGATTTTGTTGAGGTAATTATTTTGAATATGTTAATCATATATGATTACACTAATTTATTAAATTAATTTCTAATTATATTTATTTTTATTACATAGGAATATGAATCAAAATTATCTAAAATGCTTAATCGATTTGAGAGGATGAAGGAAAATTTGAATTCAAATTTCAATGATAAAATAACAAAGTTTCCTGAAAAGGAAAGTTTTAGGATTTTGAAAGAAAATATCACAAATGTAATTGTTGAAGATAAAACTAAAATTACATAATGAAACTTGACTTGAATGTATAAATTTGACACCAGTTATGAGTGAAAAAATAAATGATGAAAAAGGGAATGAAGATAAAGAGGGAAATGGTGAAAACTACAATGATGATGATGGACCTGAACCAGAAGTAGATTATTTACTTGATGGAAATAAAGTGGAGAATGAAGTAACAAAGAATGATAGAGAAACCAATGAAAAAGAAACTAATGAAAAGAAAAAGGAAGATGAAACTGAAGAAAAAAGAATGATGGAGAGATCAAATAAAAATAAGAATGGTGAAGAGAAAAACGATGAGAAAACTAAAGAAACAAATAATGATGGAGAGACTAGTCTAAAAAATGAAACAAATAAAAAATTGTTGGATAAAGTTGTTTAAAACGTTGTGGATAATGTCTTTGGCATTGGATTTTCAAGTTTAAATAGTCAAGAAGATGAAATCTGGAATAACCCTGAAATGAAAACTATTTTGGATAATATTGATACAGGTAAATTTTGACTTTCTTTTTTTTTATAAAAATATTAATACACAATAACAAATTTTTTTATTAAATTTTGACCACGGTCAGGAATGACTGGCAGTAAAACTAATACTCCGATCAGTCAAGTTATTAAAGGTATGTATTTGTTATTCATATATGAATGAATATAAAAAAATGTTACTAATAACTTATTATTTATTTACAAATAAAAATGTTATTATAGATTCAATAATTCATTATACTTAATATACAATATGATATGGATATTGTTGGGAAGGGAAACTCAGAAAGTGAACATAAACAAGGAGGAGAAGTTCAGAAAGGAAAGGGAGATGATACAGGTAAATGGATGATTCACTATTAAGTGAATATATTACAATTCTTATATTGATTTTTTTAATAAGACAACTTATTCATTAGTGAATAAAACAGTATATGAATAAGTAAAAAAGATAGAATAATCATATATGATGTATATCTTTCAGGCAAGGGAAAGTCTGGACATGGAAATAAAGAAGGAGGAGAAGTTGAGAAGACAAAAGGAAATGATAGAGGCGGAGATAAACAAGGAGAAGTTGAAACTATTGAGGAAAATAAAGGTGAAGGTTGAGATAAACAAGCAGGAGAAATTGAAAAAGGAAATGGAGATGATAAAAGTAAATGAATGATTCACTAATAAGTGAATATAATAAGATTGATTATTCACAAGTGAATAAGATAGTATATGAATAAATAAAAAAGATAGTATTACTTGTTCATAAGTAATGATATGCATTACTTATTCATAACTGAATATATTATAATGCTTACATTGATTTTTTGAATAACACACTTTTCATGTATGAATAAGTAAAAGATCGAATTACTTGTTCATTAGTAATGCTTCATAAGTAATACTATGCATTACTTATTCATAAGTGAATATATTAAAATATTTATATTTATTTATGAATAAGTAATACAATATTTTGAATATAGATAGAATATTCATATATGATGTGTATCATTCAGGCAAGGGAAATTCTGAAGATGAAAATAAAAAAGGAAGATGAGATGAGAAGACAAAAGGAAATGATGGAGGTAACAATTTCGAAAAACATTTGAAAACTCATATATGATTGGAAAGATCAATATCATATATGAATAAAATATAAAAAAATATATTATAATTAACATATAATTAATTATATGATTCAATATTCATATATGATTTGAATTTTGAAGGGGATAAAAAAGGGGTTGAAGTTGAGAACAAAAAAGCAGGTGATGGAGGTAAATAGACAATTCATTAACTAATTATACTTAATATATTACATTAAAATTTATATTTTCCATAATATATTAATATATTGTGTAAATTTTATGGCCGGTAAAAAATCAAAAAATGAAGTTAATACTCATCCAAGCTTTAGTCTAGGTCTCAATCAAAATTCAAATCAAACTTCAAGTAAAAAATCTAATGAATCTTCACCAAAGGCCAAGTGGGACTAGCCCACTTGGTAGAGGCTTTGCCTCTTAGATTGGAGGTTTCGAGTTCTATTCCAGGCGTTGACGGTTTCGTGATACTAACTGCTTTCGTGTACTAACTGCTAACCACTAACCCCGCCGTTCAAAAAAAATGAATCTTCACCAAAAAAACCACTTACATAGAAACAAATAAAGAAAGACTTGTGATTATATTATCAAAAAAAATGTTCTTAATCCAAATCCAATCTCTATACCAATTCCTACAGAATGAGGACCATCAAAGCATGATCTGGATGAATCAATACCGAAGAAGCTGGTTGATCCTTTCAGATTACCTTACAAATGCTAGATAATAGACACAAAACCTAAGTTGATACATCATGAGAGTATTGTCTGCGAGTGGTTGTTCAACTTGCAAGGGAATACATCGTAAGTAACTTTGTTTTGTAGACCTATTCATATATGATTATTATATAAATAATAATATATGACATTTTGCTTATATATTTTCAGAGATGTGGTTGTCCAGACAAAATATGGTCAGGTGACACAAACAACATTTATGGAAAGTATATATGGAAACACATAGATTTTTGCAGAAGTTTTAGAAGGTTGAGTTGATTTACTTAACCACCAAGAACTGGGAAGAGATGTCGGAAATTCACCATGTTGAAGTTTATGTAAGTTTGTGTTCTAACATTAATTTCTTCTTTATTGATAAATGAATATAGCAATATGATGTATTCAATTATGAATATTAGATTTATTTAGTATCATTTAAGATAATTATGTATATGCAACTGAAACTCACATATGATTATAACAAAATGATGTATTAATTTATGGATATAAAAATAAAAAATAAATACCTTTAGTATTCAATTATGATTAATATACCAATATGATGTATTTATTTATGATTAACAACTTACTAATCCTTTAAAATTATTTTGGTTACAGAATGCTTATGTATCTTCAACATTGAATGATGAAAGTGTTGGGTTATGAGCATTCTAACACTCCTAAGTGTACATGCAACCCTAAATACCTTGGATCTAT